AGTAAAATACTTTGTGCATCATTAAAAAAATCAAATGCAAGCAAAAGAAAGATCCCATCAAAAGTTTGTCAAAAGCATTCACAAGCATAAAATAAACTAACAGTGTAATAGTTTAAGTATACTACCTGAAAGGGTAACGATTCCTCTGGGTTGAGGCTGAAACCGCAAATATTTGTTACAAAAATCAGCAGATTCAAGAGCCAAAAACAAAACATTGCCCAAAAAATAGCCTGCTGTTTGGCCCACAGAATTGCACGTGGAAGCATAGCCCACATTTTCGCGGGATAACATAGTTAACGCCCAACCATCCACAGCGATGTCCTGTGTGGCGGCCAGGAATTCAAACAAAAAGAATGTCACAGTGAGAGCAACCACATCAGGTGTTCTGCCATCAGTATTTCCGAGCATATGGTCCACTTGAGTGGATAAATATATCATGAAGATTCCTAGTATATACTGAGTAGGGACAAGCCAGGACTTGCGACGACCGAAGTTCTTAAAGTAGACAGCGTCAACCAAGGGCGCCCAGAGTAACTTAAGGCTGAAAGGCCAGAAGACAAAACTGAAGAAAGCCTGGTCTGTATAGCTAACATTTTTGCTCTGCAAAATGAGTGGGATGCTCCCCGCCAGGCCCAAGGGAATGCCCTGAAGCACGTAAAGAAAGAGCAGTAACAAAATGCTACTTAGTTCGGCTCTGTAGCTCCGCGGAGCTTTTGGGATGTCACCGGGGCCGGCATCTCCAAGAAGAGCTTCTCGGTCCCCCTCCCCGCCCACCAAGTCCGAGTGACTCTCATCCCAGGCGCCCGGCGGCAGCGGGCCACTCTTCATATCCAGAGCGTGGCTGAACATGCCTGGCCGCCGCTGCCTACTGCTGTCCTTGTGGGAGATGGTCGGTGACATATCAGAGACGACGCAGAGCCCGGTCTGTGGTGGCCTGAGGCTGGCGTTTTTGGATCAGTCTAGTCCCAGGTCCAAGGCAACCGCTCTGGACCAGGGTCTCGGAGGCTCACCGCCAGGAGGGCGGACGCGGGGAGACTAGTTGTTGTTTTGCAGCACGGAGCCAGATCCCCGGCCGGTGACCCAGGCGAAGCCTGGGTCGCTGCCCGGAGGAGCAACTTCAGGGAGCTTGCAGGAGCACTCCCGGCGGGCGCGCCGGGCTCGAGGCTGGTGGAGCGGGCCGTGGCGCTGCGATGGTGGCGGGTCGCAAGTGCGGCGGGACCCGAAAGCCCGCCTGCCTACCCGCTGCCAGGAGGTCTCGGCGGCCACTGCAGCCAGCACCCGGCTCAGCCCACACAGAGGCACAGGATGACTTCCTGCCTCGCGCGTCGGGAAGTGGTTCCCTTCCCAAATAAGTCCCCTGCCCGCCTCCAGACCGCGGCAACCAATCAGGACAAGCTCCGGTGGCGGCGTCGGCAAACAACGTTTGCTAGGAACCATGAATTCCCTCGTTTCTGACGCCAAGGGAGGAATAACCCCTGCGTACCGTGCGTCCTGGATGAAGCGACGCAAATGCCTGGGTTCCGTCTGCGCATGCGCTTGCGTGGAACTCGTGGGCCTAGGCCATTGGGCCCTCGTCGCCACGTGAGCACGGCTTTTTTTTTTTTTTTGCGGACTGACCCATTCCTTGGTAATAATATTGTGCAGGGTCGGAGGCTGCAGTGACTGTAGCAGAGTTTGCCTTTGTATTTATCGACCTCAGTACATAACTTCCCGCTGGCACTTGCGTAACGCTTCCGCTTTGTGGGCCCGCCAGAGAGGTTACGAAGCTTTAGAATCAGGATGCTTTGTACCCGACTAAATGGAAACCCCGGTACCTTCTACACAGAACGAATGAGGCGGTCCAGTTTCCCAAATGTGATGGAATAAGTGTAGGGGACCGCTCGGTACACAGGGTGACTGAGATAAATTTCAATCTGCTGCAGCATATTTTTATGCCACTGGAAACTTCTAGAAGCCACCATTCTTGGCATCCAGGGTTATGCATTTTAAGTGGCCTTCCTTTCCTGTTTTGTTTTGTTTTGTTTTTTTATTAAACGAATCCTTGGAAGCTCTTGGAGGTGGAAATGTTGAGATAATAGATTTAGTATTTTCAGTGATGCCAAAGAAATAGGTTTTCCAAAAATTTTATGAATCCATAATTGGCCAGTTTTCAAACATCACTGCAAACATAATAATACATGCTTTCTTCAGTTTAAAGTGCTTTAAATTTTGTTGTGCATTTCTGCCTTTACATTTTCTCTACTTTCCACAGCTCATTAACCACTTAGCTGATTCCTCATATTGTCTGTCTCCCTCCTCCTTCCTGTCCCGCTTCTTCCCCTGTGAGTGTGTGTATGTATGAGAGAGAGAGAGAGAGAGAGAGAGAGAGAGAGAGAGAGAGAGAGAGAGAGAGAGAGAGAGAGAGAAAGTTAAGAGTACTTTGGGGCTGGAGTTATGTTGGTGAAGACGCAGTAAGCACTCACCTACTGACCCGTCTCTCCAGGCCTTGCACCTGCACAGGCATTTGAGACTATTATTATTATTATTATTATTATTATTATTATTATTATTATTATTATTATCTTTTTTGTTGTTTTGAGACTGGGTCCTCCGTCACACTGTAGCTCATAGTGGCCCTTATAACCCAGGCTGCTCTCAAATTTATGGCCATCCTCCTGCCTTAATCTCCCGAGTCCTGGGTTTGTATAAACGAGCCACCACACCTAGTTTAATATATTTAAATAACAGAAAATGGCAACCGTGACGTCTTCTAATCTTTGTTAAAGAGAAGAATAGAGCTGGATGTGGTGGTGCATGCTTGTAATCCAAACTAGTCTATAAACGAAGTTCCTGGCCATCCATGGCTACATAGCAAAACTTTGTCTCAAAAATTGGAAGAGTGGGGGGAAGCCAGCTGAGCGGCCTTGGCACACATCTTTAATCCCAGCACTCAGGAGGTAGAGGCAGGCTGTATCTCTGAATTTAAAGTCGACTTGGTCTACAGAGAGAGTTCCAGGACAGCTAGGGCTACACAGAGAAACCCTGTCTCAAAAAACAAAACAAAACAAAAAAAAAAAAAAAAGGAGGAAAAACAGTTTACAGTCTTATTATCTAAGTAAGACCAAAAGTCTCAATTTATTTATTTTTCTTTATTTTTGCAACAAGGTCTTACTGTGTGGTCCTAACTGGCCTGAAACTCACCTTATAGACCAAGCTGGACTTGAACTCAACAGAGATCCACCGGCCTCTGACCTGAGGGGCTGGGATTAAGGCATGGGCCACCCTGCCTGGCCCTCCTATTTGTTTTTGTTTGTTTGAGAAGGGATCTCATGTAGCCCATGCCAGCATTGAGCTTGATATGTACCTGTTAGGATGGTTTTGAACTCCTGATGCTTCTGCTTCCACTTCCCAGGTTCTAGCATTACTGGCATGTGCTGTCATTCCTGTGAAAGTCTCAATTTCAATGAATACAGAATAAGGTTTATCACATCCACTTTTGCATTGCAAGGGTCTCAGGAAGTAGCCTACAAGTCTGTGGTGGTTTGAATGGGAATGGCCCCCACAGGCTCATAGATTTGAATACTTAGTCATCAATAAGAGGCACTGCTTAGGATTAGGAAGTGTTGCCTTCTTGGAGGAAGTGTGTCACTGCGGGTGGACTTTGAGGTTTCAGAGGCCCAAGCCAGGCCTAGTGCCTCTCTCTCTTCCTGCTGCCTATAGATCTGGATGTATAGAACTCTCAGCTCCTCCTCCATCACCTGTGTGCTGTGTTCCTGTGTGTCACCATGCTATCTGGTATGCTGATAATGGACTAAAGTTCTGAAACTGTAAGCCAGCCCCAATTAAATGCTTTTCTTTATAAGAGTTGCTGTGGTCATGGTGACTCTTCACAGCAATAGAACTTTGACTAAGACAAAAGCTGTGCATTGGTCGGGTTTTTGGTTTCTTTGTTTGAGGAGAAAATAATAAGTTTGCATTTCTGTTTGTTTTTTTCCTTTTAGTTTGAGATTGAACCTTGAGCCCCATACATACTAGGCAAGAATTCTACAGCACTGAGCTAATCCCAGACCTTTTATGTGTGTGTTCCTGTGTTGGGAGTATACTTGTATGTGAATGTGCACATGAGTGCATGTACATATAAAGACTAGAAGACAGCCTAGGGTGTTGTTCCTCAGGAGCTGTCCACTTCTCTTCCCCTACCCCATTTTGAGACAGAGTCATATTGGCCTGATATTCACCAAAAGCAATTTCATTGAGTTTTGTAAGATAATATATTAATACTAAAAACATAGGAAGTAGATGCCTATAAGTAGCTTCTAGACTAATAGCTAGTCTTATTTAGATCTCACTTTTTTACATGTACTAGTGTGTGTGTGTGTGTGTGTGTGTACTATGTTTACTTTTAAGTGCTATTCCTGTTTGATATCATACCTTTACAGTTTCACTGACTCTCTCTCCTCCTCATTCTCTGGAGTTCCTAATGTTTTCCTGACTATATTTGTGTCATTTGAAAAATTGTAGAGTAGAATCATATAATATGTGACCTTTGGGATCAGGTTCCCCACCCCCCAGCATTATTATCCTTGAAACCAAAATAAGATGTTTATATATCAATAGATATATCATCATGTATCATCTGTAGATATAAGATGTTTATATATATCAATATCATCTGTAGATATCATATTTGTTCTTTTTTAATTATAATAGTCATTTTTTTTTTGGTTTTTCAAGACAGGGTGTCTCTGTATAGTTTTGGTGCCTGTCCTAGATCTCACTCTGTAGACCAGGCTGGCCTCAAACAGAGATCCGTCTGGCTCTGCCTCCCAAGTGCTGGGATTAAAGGTGTGCACCACCACTGCCTGGCCAACAGTAATTCATTTTATGGGCGCCACATCAGTGGAGTTTTTCTTTAAATTGTTTTGAGACAGAGTTTCACTGTGTAGCCCAGACTGACCTCCAAAATGGTAGAGTCAAATGAACAAGAGAATTGATTCTAAATTTTTTTTATTCTTTAACAATACCTTACATGTATACAGTCTATCTTGATCATATCCAATCCTCACACTTTCCCCACTGGAGCTCCCTCCCACCTTTATATCTTCCTTTTTTTAGAGCTCACTGATTCTGGCTAGTGTCGTTTCCTGCATGTGCGTGGCTTTGGGGCTAACCACTGGACATGGGCAATCTACCAGCAGCCATACTCTGGAAGAAAAGTGACTCTTCTCCCAGCATCCGACAACTGTCAACAGCTCCTAAGTTGGAGGTGGAACCTTCTGAGTCTCTCTCCCATCCATGCTGTAACGTTGACTGGATTGATCTTGTTCAGGTAACCACAGCTGCTGGGAGTTCATGAGTGCAATGGTGGCATGTTCAGAAGATAGCGTTTCTACCATCCTCCAGCTCTTACATGGAACCTTGAGTCTTGTTGGCGTGGCAGGCAATGGTTAATATGAATGTCTCAGTTAAGGCTGAGCACTCAACAATCACTTGTTTTCAGCACTTTGATCAGTTGGGTCTGTGTATGGACTGCTGTCCACTGTAGAAAGAAGGTTCTGGGACCAAGGTTGAGAGCAGCACTAATCTATGGAGATAATCATAAATATTAAGAAAGCAGTTTGACATGTCCATTTAGCAAAACAATAATGAGTTTCCTCTCCCAGGACCTCTGATCTCTCCAATGATGGGCTTTTGACTAGGCTTTCAATAGTAGGCATGAATTTCCTTTTATGGAAAGCAGATAGCAGATCTAATCAGTAAGTAGCTGGTTAGCCTATTTATTTATTTAATTTTTTGTTGTTTAGACAAGACCTAATTTATTTTAGAAGGGGCCTCATATAGCCCTCAAACTCACTGTGTAGTCAAGGATAGTCTTCAACTACCAAGTTCTGGGATTACAGATGTGCCATTATGCCTGGCTTTTATCAGTGTCTTAAATAATTTCTTCCAAATTGTAACTGGAGTTTTCTCCAGTCCTGCCTGGGCCTGCAGTCACTCAGACCCACATAAACACACAGATGCTTATATTAATTATAACTGTTTGACCTAATGGCTCAGGCTTCTTGCTAGCTAGATCTTACACTTAAATTAACCCATAATTCTTACTTATGTTTAGCCATGTGGCTTGTTACCTTCTCCCAGTTCTGCCTTCACATCTTGCCTTCTCTGTGTCTGGCTGGCGACTCCTGACTCAGCCTTCCTCTTCCCAGCATTCTCCTCTCTGCTTATCCCACCTATACTATACTTCCTGCCTGGGTACTGGCCAATCAGCATTTTATTTATCAACCAAATCAGAGCAACATATTCACAGCATACAGGGTGATATCCACAGCACCAAATATTATTCCTTAGCTATAGTACTGATTTCTCTTTAGTGGTTATGTTGTGGTAATCTCTCTTGAATAAGTACTTGGATACCAGTAAGAGTGGAAAAAGATGTCACCAAAGCCAGGACAGTTTCTGAAAGCCCTTGGTATGGGGTCCAGTTTGCATTTTCATTTTATACTCTAAAACCACAAGGTGAAGTGAGCAAGCAATTGAGATTTTACAGGAGCCTGCTTAGTACTCAGCTTGTTTCCTAAAGACATATATTATAGTTGACTGGTGTAAGCTTTTGTGGTCAGGTTGTTAAAGGTAATGACCTGTTGTGTTTTAGCTGTTTCTCCAGGTCCTTCTGTTCCAGGTGTCAAAGTGAAGTCACACTTGGAAATGAGCAGGACAAGCAGTGCTAATAATTGGCCTTTTCTGCCTTATTCTACTTCAGTTAAATTACCATTCTATTGAATGTTAATTTTCTGTACCTAACTAAACAAAAATACAAACAACAGGGGAAAATTACTAGTACAATATTTTAGGGAAAAGTTTTGTATTTATCTAATTCCATGTTGTACACATAATGTTTTGTATATAATTTTGTTTTTCAATGGACAGTGATAATATGAAACAAACAAAACAAAAAACAACCTTCTAATTAAAAAAGCCTTCAGCCAGATGTGGTGACACATGTGTTGTAATCACAGCACTGAAGAGACCAAGGCAAGAGGTTCATAAGTTGCAGGCTAGCCTGGGCTACATAGTGAGTTCTGAGATTACAGGCCTGCATCACCATACCTAACTCATAGTCTTTTCTATAAAGGCATTAATTCCTTTCCTGGAAGCTCCATTTCATGACCTAGTCACTTCCCAAAGGTTCCACATTCAAAGATGAGGGGTTAGGTTTAAGGGTATTAATATGGGGTATCATAATCATTCTACTTCTGCTTCCTCAGTTCATCTCCTTCTCACATACAAAATATACTCATTACATCCCAGTTACCCACCCACCCCCCATCCTACTTTTTATGGCATCAACTGTAAATACAAAACCTCATCTAAATATCATCTAAATCAGATATGGGTAATGTGGTAAATATTGATTGTCAACTTGACAGAATCTAGAGTCACTAAAGAGGCAAGCCTCTGAGCACACCTGTAAAGGAATCTCTTATAAAGCTAGTAGCTCCTGGGCATGCCTGTGAAGGATTATTTTGATTAGCTTTCTTGAAGTAGAAAGCTGGGTGAGCACCAGCATGCATCTCTTTCTGCTTCCTGACTGTAGATGCAACGTCACTCCTGCTTCAAGCTTCTAACACCAGGACTCCCCTGTTACGATTGATGCATCCTTGAATTGTGACCCAAAACAAGTCCTCTCTCCCTTAAGTTGCTTTTGTCAAGGTATTTTATCACAGCAACAGGTGATAAAGTAATATATATATATATATAATATTAATTTTGAGGGAAATTGTTCCCCAGTTGTGAAACTGTGAGATACATGCTATAGATTTTCAAAATTGAGTTATGGAGCCCAACATGATGACTCATGCCTGTTGTCCCATAACTTGAGTTCCAGGACAGCCTTGACTACCGAGTAAGATCCAGTCCCAAGGGAAAAAAAATGAGTAGTTATAGAGCAGGAATAGAGCAAATATCTCATATCTATAGAAATAGGAAAGAAAAAGATGGCAAGTCTAAGGTAAGTACAAATTACAAGGCACATTATATGAAATCTTAAGGCTTGAGAATAATCCTTGTCTCAGTCACTGTTCTAGAGCTGTGAAGAGACACCATAACTATGGCAACTCTTATGAAAGAAAACATTTAACTAAGGCTGGCTTATAGCTTCAGAGGTTTAGTCTATTATCATCATTGCGTGAGACATGGCAGCATGTAGGCAGACACGGTGCTGGAGAGGAGCTGAGAGTTGTACATCCAAATGCAGGCAGCACAAAGAGAGAGACTCTGGGTTTGGAATGGGCTTTTGAAATCTCAAAGCCCACCCCCAGTGACATACTTCCTCCAACAAGGTCATACCTCCTAATCCTTTCAAATAGTGCCTCTCCCTGGTGACCAAGCATTCAAATCTGTGAGCCTATGGGGACCATTCTCATTCAAACCACCACACTCCTCTTGGCCTTCGGATTGTCTGTGGTGGAGTTCCTGCCCTTGCAGATCTACCTAGCAGAGACTTTTCCCCAGTGCTGTGCCAGGCAGCCTGGCCCTGCAACTTTGTGCAGAGTCTATTTGTAGTCCAGGCTGGCCCTCAACATACTATTTGCTATGTAACTGAGGATAACCTTGAACTTCTTATCCTCTTGTCTTGTGTCCCATGGACTAGGATTACAGGCATGCACCACCACACCTAATATAGGTAGTGCTGGGTATCAAACCCAGGGCTCTGTTCATGTTAAGCCAGTATTTTACCAACTGGGATATAGCCCTAGCTATATTTGGTCTTTTTTTGTTTGTTTGTTTTTTGTTTTGTTTTGTTTTTCGAGACAGGGTTTCTCTGTATAGCTTTGCGCCTTTCCTGGGACTCACTTGGTAGTCCAGGCTGGCCTCGAACTCACAGAGATCTGCCTGGCTCTGCCTCCCGAGTGCTGGGATTAAAGGCGTGCACCACCACCGCCTGGTTTTTTTTTTTTTTTTTTTTTTTTTTTTGTCTTGTCATATTTGGTCTTTTAAAAGAAAGATAAAGCCAGGTGTGGTTTAAGCAAAATATTCCTAAGGTCATAATTCATAAATATCCTGTTTCATTGGTGGTGGTGGTAGTGATAGCATTTTTGTTTTGTTTCAAAATAGTATCTCTATGTAGACCTGGTTAGCCTGGAACTTGTATAGATCAGGCTGGCCTCAAACTACAGCACTTCTCCTGCCTCTGCCTTCTGAGTGCATACATTACAGGCATATACTATGATGCCTGGCTCATAAATATCCAATTGTATTACTGCTCACAATTTCCACCTTTTGCAGAACACTACACCCGATTGCTCTTTGCCAGTTTACTGCAAGGTTTGCCTCTTCTGGTAGTAATGGTTTTCATTTCCATCAGAGACTTGCTCAGAATGCCCTTTACTATCTATATTTACACCAACATTTTCTTCAGAATCACTTAAGTATTCTGTGGAAAGACTGGCCAACTCTCTATAGCTCTTCTTCCTTTCTTTTTCAAATTATTTTTCATTTATGTGTATGTTTGTGTGTGTTTGCTTGTCTGGGTGTGTACCACATGTGTGCAGGCCAGAAGGTGGTATTAGATCCCCAAAACAGGAATTACAGGCCATTCAACTAATGTGGGAGTGAAAATAGGCCCTTTCTGTAAGGGCAGCATAGGCTCTTATGTCCAGCCATCTCCCTGGCCCATCTGTGAGTGACAGATGGATAGCTGTCCTATAGAATTTGTGTATCCACTGACCTCTCATCCAAGACTGTCAATTTCTAGGGAATTCTTGGTGGATGGACCTGTTTCCACTGAGAGTAATACCATCTCTCTGCATGCACCTCTCAGCCTGAGCCAGCCTCCTGACACCTGCACTCTTCTTGTCAGCGCTGGCCTTCTTGCTCGCCACAGCTGTCTCTCTAGGCCTTCCCTTACTCAGAGGCCAAACTGAGGCGCCCAAATTTAGGAATGTTCCCTGATCTCAGGACTCAGACAACTCAGCTTCTCCCCCTCACAGCTGAGGACTGCACCTCTACCACTGAGCTAAATCCCCAACCCCGACAGCTTTTAAAGAGTGCATCTCTCAAGTGAAATAACACAACAAGACGCCATTTCTCTCTGCTGCTACCCTGTCTATAGGAGGTATCACTGTCTCACCAAATCTATAACTGAATTTGAGACTTTCTGAGGGCTGTGTAGCTTCTCCTAAGGGAAGGCTGCAGGGCTTTCATTTGGCTAGCCTCTTGACTGCTTTGGGAAGCAGCTCCCCAGTCTCCTTTCTGTCCAGGGAGTTGTTTGGTTGTGTTTAGCTTACTTCTCTGCTTGTGCAATGTTACTTTTACTCTTAACTGTATTTTCTCACTTCTTTTGTGACTTTCTAAAGCTTTTCCTCTCTGATATAAAATATACTTTTTTCCTATTCTGATTCTCAAAAGAGAAAGGTCACCAACTAATACAGAGGCAGCTTCTAGTCTACCATCTTAACAGAAGTCTGTTTGGGAAGGGGACATTGAGATGCAGTCTCACCATGTAGCCCTGGCTGGCCTAAAAACCACTGTGTTGACCAGGATGTTTGGAAAGTTGAAACGATCCCCTACCTCTGTTTTCTACATACCAGGATTACAGGCATGTAGAAGTATGCTTGGCTTTGAAAATGTATATATAATTTCTGAAGTAGCCCAGTCTAGCCTGTGCTCTGCTCACATATCATTGCTTATTTCTTGTTTGGTTTGCTCAGTCATCAACTGATGGACTTTTTTTTTTTTCTATTGCTGTTTATTTTGAGACAGGGGCTCATATTGTGGCCCAGGTTTGTCTGGACCTCACTATGTAGCCCAGGCTGATCTGGTACTCATGGCGATCTTCTCAGTTTCCCAAGTGCTGGGAATCTAGGTATGAGTCACCATGCTCAAACACTGGGCATTATCCTGTATTTAATTTTCTAGTCATCCTTTGCCTAGCCAGAATAAACCTCAAGGATCAGTTTGGTCAGTTTAATTAACCAAGTGGCTTTTACCAAAATATTGATTACTCCACTTTTTTTTTGTGATCACTGACATGTTTGATATGATACAGACTCCCTTGGCCAGCCTATAAATAACCAAAGGCAATTGGGTTATTTTGGACTATTTTAAAGAGCACATTGGGATGTATTAACTTCTTTTGTTATTTTTCTTGTAGTCAGGGTGATTATGTTTCAGTTTAAAAAGTTCCTAATATTTCTTGAATCTAGAGGGAAATGTTAAAACAATATTTGTTTTTTCCCCTTTATTAGCTACTAGAAATCCCAATAAGCTTTTATTTAGTTTACTGGAAAATTTTAACAGAAATATATATGTGGCTTCCTATGGTTTCTGAAAGGCTAGGGCACTTGGCATAGAGAAAAACAGAAACCAAGGTCATTGAAATTCTAAATAGCAAGAAGTTGCAGCTGTGGGTTGCAGAATATTTTTCAAAAGCACGGAGTGTTTTATTGCCAGGCTTGTGGCCTCTGGTTTCTTTTTCCTGGGCTCCATTTCAAAAATTAATTCCACCATCTAGTGGCTCCTTCCTGTAATTTCATGTTTGTGGATTTCTTCTCAGCAGTTTGCTATCATGTGAACTATAACTCAATATAGTATTTGGAATTTTAAAACTTAGTTTAGCAGGGCAGTATCAGTTATTGAGGGTACCTCAGGTAAAGGGGAAGGATGCTTGGGATGATGGCATTTCCATTTGGGAAAAGCATCTAAGCCAATAGCAGTCCTTAGAGAAAGCAGGATCATAATGCTCCCTTCTAGGCAACTCTTTGTATGTTCTGGATATTAAACCTCTGTCAGATGAATAGCTGGCAAAAGTTCTGTCTCATTCTGTGGGTTTTCTCTTCACCCAGTTGGTTTTTTTTTTTTTAATTTTTGTTTTGTTTTGCTTTGTTTTGTTTTTTCAAGACAGGGTTTCTCTGAGCCTTTCCTGGAACACACTCTGTAGTCCAGGCTGGCCTCGAACTCACAGAAATCCGCCTGCCTCTGCCTCCCGAGTGCTGGGACTAAAGGCGTGCATCACCACCGCCCAGCTTTAGTTGGTTGTTTCTTTAGCTTCATTTCAAGAAGTCCCACTTTTCAGCTGGCTGGTGGTGGCACACACCTTTAATTCCAGCAGTCGGGAGCCAGGTGGATCTCTATGAGTTCGAGGCCAAACTGGTCTACAGAACGAGATCCAGGACAGGCACCAAAACAACACAGGGAAACCCTGACTCAAAAAAAGAAGTCCCACTTGTCAATTGTTGGCCTTAATTTTTGGACAAATGAGGTCCTATCAGGAAGTCCTTTCCTACACCTATATCTTGTATGGTTCTGCTTGTGTTTTCTTCTAGCAGTTTTGGTGTTTCAGGTTCAAGTTTAGGTCTTTCATCCATTTGGAATTAGTTTTTGTGCAAGGTAATAGGTCGGGGTCTAATTTCATTTTTCTTACATATGAATATCTGGTTTTCCTGGCATCATTTGTGGAAGATGCTGTCTTTTCCCCAGTATGTTTTTGGCATCTTTGTTAAATATCAGATGGCTGTAGTTATGTGTACTCATGTTTGGATCTTTGATTTTGTTCCATTGTCTACATGTCTATGTTAGTGCCAGTACCATACTGTTTTTTATTACTATGACTCTAAAATATTTCTTGAGGTCTGGGATGGCAATCCCTCCAGCATTGCTATTTTTGCTCAGTATTGTTTTGGCTGCCTAGGGTCTTACATGGTTCCATAAACCATATAGTTTTTAAAGCACTGAGAAATTAATCTGGGCTAGGATTATGGATCATCCAATGAATAAATGGCAGAGAAACAATTCTATGTGCAATCTAAGGCTAGATTGGAAACGGCCATATAGGGGCTGGGCATGCGTCTCAGAGTAGTGTTTGCTTACAAAACCCCAGACTTCATCCTTGGTATGCCAACAGAGAAGGAAATCAGACAAGACTATACAGCTTCTACCAGGAATACTCTCCTGGGAATTCTGACCTAGTTTGGAGGAAATCCAGGTATCCTTAAGCAGTTTGAGAGAGAGGCCACAGAGAGGTGGCAATGCCCTGAGGGTCAAAGTGTTCCAGCCCTCAGGGGATATTTCCAGAGCACAGGTATCAAAGCGGGGAGTGAGAAAGCCTTAGAACAGATTATTCTAAGCCCCAGCCCTTGGACCCCTCTATCTCAGGCCTAATAGACCGGCTTTTAGACTGCTCTGATTTATACAATAAAGCAGAGAAAAGCTATTCATAATGAATAAACTCTGCCCTAATTGCAGAAAAAAAAATTTCCCTTTAGTGACCAGGTTTAGGGGTATTGTTTTCATAAAGAAATAAATAACTGGATGCAATCTCAGGCCAGTTATTTTGTGGAATATGCCTGCATTTGATTCCCATTTCTTTCATGCATTTTGGGCAGAACATCACTATTGTCACATTATGCTCATCTTACTTAGACCATCAAGTGACACATGATGCTGATTTATTGTTATTGGTGATATTCATGTTAGTCACTCAAATAAGGTGGTGTCTTGTGGCACCTCTAAAGTTGCTAATTTTGTCAGATGTGGTAGTATACACACTTGGGAGGCTGATGTAGTTGGATCATGTCTAGTTCATGGCTAGCAAGAGTTAACAGTAAGACCCTATCTCAAAAACAACCAAAGACAGTAAAATTTGCTATTTTACCTTGTATAATTAATGATTGTTATGTGGGGAGATACTCTGAGACAGTATAAGTCTGCTTCTCATCTTTTACTCACTAATTTTAGCATTCATTGGTATTTCACGTCTGAACTCATTATTATTATGGTGGTTGAAAATGTTTCTGTAGTATTTCCAGCTTTTGTTACTTGACAGCCTATTGTAAAGCCTGTCTGTGCACCTCTCAGGCTGCAGTTCTCCTTCCTCTCTCTTCTCTGTTGTTTGAGACAGTGTCTCACCATGTACTCCAGGCTGGCCAGTTTGGTCTACATAGACTGTTCCCGGGCAGTCAGGGCAACACAGTGAGAAAGATACTTTTGTGCAAAAGGCCGGGGACAAGAAAGAACCTATCCTAGTTGCGGGACTGCAGCTGTTTGGAGAGGAGTGCAGAGGAAGGAGTAGTGTGAAGCTGCAGCAGCAATAGGCTAGCGGGAGCCAGATCTCTACACACCTAACGGACAAGGCAGCAGTTTGCTCTTCAGTTGCTGCTGGTGGCGCAAGACTGAAACTAAAGCTATTTAGGAGGCTGAGGCAGAAGGGTCACAAGGTCAAGGCCAGCCTGGGCTACAAAGTAAGTTCAATACCTGTCTGAGCAATGTAGTGAGACCCAAGTAAAAATAAAAAATAAGAGTGCTGGGCATATAGGTCAGTGGCAAAGAGCTGGCCTAGTATGTGTGAGGCCCTATGTCCAGTCCTCAGTTCGACATACTGTGTTAGTCAGGGCTCCCTAGTAGACTAGAACTGAGAATGAATATACAGCAAAGGGAATTTACTAGACTGGCTTACCTGATGTAGTCTGGGTCATTGAGCAGTGGCTGTCTACATCCTGGGGAGCCAGAGAACCTATTAGCTGTTCAGATACTTCAGCTAGTTAGCCTGAGGATACAGAGGATTCCTGGAGAGCCACTTGTCTTAGGTCCACATTAGAAGGCTGAAAAAGCCGGGTCCATCAGTAAAGAATGGTAGCAGCAGCGACAAGGTAAATGAACTCACAGCAAGACAGGAAGGCAACAAGAGGTCAAATCATCCAAAAAGCAAACTTTTCTCCTTTTTATCTGGGTATCATGGGAACATGATGCTAACATGTAAAGGGGTCTTCCCCTTTCATGTAACCTGATCAAGCAAATCTACTACACTTGTGCCCAGTGGCTGATCTCTTAGTTGATTCCAGATGCAGTTAAACCGACAGCCAAGCTTAACCATCACCCCATAACAGGCATCTAGAGCTCAGAAGAGATGTCAGAGCCTCTTAAGTTTTTCTTTTATTTACTTACTTTCTTTATTTTTATTTTTTTTATTTTTATTTTTATTTTTTGTAGCCCAGGCTAACTTGGAACTCAGCTTGTAGGCTAGGCTGGCCTCCAACTCCCAGGGATGCCTCAGAAAGTACTGGACATCGTAACATATGACTTCTGCGTGTCATTCATTCTTTTTTTTCCTTGTTTTTAAAAGCTCTTATTTCATGTGTGTGTGTGTGTGTGTGTGTGTGTGTGTGTGTGTGTGTGTGTGTGATATGTGCACAAGTGTTTATGGGCACAGAGACCATGGAGGATGTTGGGTGTTCTTCTCTATCAACCTCCATTTTACTCTCTTGAGACAGGTTCTCTCACTGAGCCTGGGGCTAGGCTGGTGGCCAGCAAGCCCATGTGATTCTCTTATCTCTGTCCTCTGAATTTCTGGGTTTATAGGTAAATGTAGCCACACCTGGATTTTATGTGGATGCTGGGACTTGAACTCCAGTCCTTATGTTTGGGTAGTTCTTATCTGCTGAGTCATCTCCCCATCCAAACACCGTCTACACCCCCCCCAACCCCCCCCCCCACCCCCGTAGTCCTGGCTGCCCTGGAACTCACACTGTAGACCAGGCTGGTCTAGAACTTAGATGTGCCTGCTTCAGCCTCCTGAGTGCTGGGATCAAAAGTGGTGGCCAACTACCATCCATTTTTGAAAAACAACAACAGCAACCAGGCAAGCTAGTAAATAGAAAAGAATTTCTTCAACAAGGTAGGGCTCTGTGAGAAGTCTATAGCTTATTAAAAACCAAGTCAGTGAGTTCCAGAACAACCAGGAATACACAGAGAAACCCTGTCTCTAAAAACAAAACAAAAAAACTGAGCCACCCCCGGGTGACATCATGAATCCATTATTGAAATGTATCTTGCAGCTTATAAAGATTTGAGGTTGAAATGGTATGTAGCCAGTCCTTAATGCCAGTTATCACATCATTCTACTGCACTGCCTGGGGTGGGGGTGGTGGGTGGATGTTTATACAAGTTGAAACTGTTCTATCGTTAACTACACTCTGGATTGTTCATACAGACCCACCAAGAAAACCCAGTATCATGGCATTGGAAAATTCAACTGTTCATTTTTCCAACCAAAAACAAAACCAAAAAACAGAAAGGTAAGTGAAACAGGGCTACTTGAGTGGCAAATTATTTACCGTGTCTTAGTTTTCTGGTTTGTAAAAGATGTGACAAGAACAATCCTTCTCTATTCTCAAGACAGCGACCGACCGTTAGAGTAAGTTCTGGTGGTTCCAGTTTGCTCGATGTCACTCCCCATAACCTGAACCAGAGCCTGACAGGAGAGCGTGGCAATGTTAGTGTTTTTTAATAGATGGATAGTTGTTGAAAGGTTTTACTAGAAGTGATCATTCCAAGTTGGAGTTTTTTGTTTGTTTGTTTTTTGCTTTGTTTTGAGACAGGTGTTGGGGCCGCAAACTCGTGGCGATTCTCTTGTCTCAGCTTCCCTGGTGCTGTTATTCAGGAGTGAGCCAGGACACTTTGCTACAGGTTGTTATTGTTTTCCTCAACCCTGATTCAGGCTTTCAGATAACCACTTCAAAGTAATACTAGCCCTGAGGGGTGCCAAGGGGCTAGCTGGAGTACAGTTCCTTCCCTGAAAACAATTCTAATGAAAGCACTGTTTGCTATACTGAGCTCCAGGACCAGCCCGCTGGCGCAGCTGCCAATCAGTGCTGCTCTCAAACTCCCTTCTTTTACGAAATCCTGCAGGCGCTGCAGACCTGATGAACCTAAACCTTTGCCTCTCCTATGTCCTGCAACTGCGTCCTGGCTACCCAAAAGGCCCCTGGAGGCCTGCTCCCCGTGCCACCAGCTGCCACTGAAGTCAGGTGGTCCTTCAGCGGAAGGGGCCTCCCGACTGGAGTTTTTCTTGTGGTGGCCTTGGTGACAAAGCCACGCTACGCCGAAGGCTCCTCCTAGCAGTAAGGCGATCCAGGCCGCAGCCGCGTGGCGAACGCTTTCCATTCCTGTAGGCTAGAGGCTCCCTTCCTCGGGCGACGGCGAGGGCGGGGCTTGAGTGGCCCCGCCTCCGAGGGCGGGCCGGTTGGCGGCGGCCGGACGGAAGCCGGAGGCGGGAGCAGAGCTCGCTCCTGCTGTGTTCTGGAGCTGCGGCCGCGTTCCGAGCTGCTGCTGTGCTGCACGCTTACCACAGTTAGCTGGTCCGGCCGCTGTGCTGCTCGCGTCCAGGCCTCGCTAGCGTCTCCGCCCGCGGCACCGATTCTTCCGGCGCCCCCCCGCCGCGACTGCCCAGATGGCTCTGTGCAACGGAGATTCCAAGGTCAGTCTGTGCTTGGGGTCCCTGCCGCCCTCAGGCAGCTTGAGCGAGACCTGGGGGACCGTCCGCGTCCCTTGGCCGGGGCAGCGGCGCTCGGCGTGTCGCAGCCTGACCTGCGGCGCGGCTTCCCGGTATCGGAGGCACCTTTTTGGCTTTGCTAGTGTGAGAGATACGAGCGGCGGGAGCGACCCCCGCGGCCGTGGGCGCCGAGTTCCAGCTCAGAGGCGACCGGGCCGTGGGCCCCGGTTCTTGGGGATGCCGAGGCCCTTACGCCGCAGGGCAGGATCGGAGCCTCGCGTGCGGCGGTCGCGCTGGGCGGGCCTGTGCTCTTCTCACCCGCCTGGGTGAGGGCCCTAGTTTCCCGCCGCGGTGGGCCCTAGCGAGCCCCGCTGACCGCAGCCTCTGTTCCTGGTCCCAGGTGTGCTTTGTCGCCCGGTTCTCCCGCCATCCTCGGAGGGGAAGGGTGTGTGGCCAGGTTCCGTTCCTGCGCACCCTGCATCGTGTTTCACGTGCTAGTTTTGGGAGACCCGTTTTCCCCCGCTTCTGGGGACTCTGGCTGCGAGCCGAGGTCTCCCCGGGTGCAGGAAAAGTTGACTTAACTGCGTGAGCCAAAACGCGAGAGCGTTGGGCAGTTGATGCGCTTCCCGTCGTCTCCAACTCCCAGCCTTATTAGACCTCTTTCTCGCCTAGCCTCCGAATTGGCCCCCTTTCTCTGCCGAGTTAAAGTCGTCTTTGGTCTGGAGGTCTTTAACGACCTTCACAAAAGCCAGTGTTGTCAGCGGGAAACTGCAGTGTTGAAATGCTATTTACTTTAACGAGGTGTACAATCACCCTCTGCGTTGTTGTGGCCTAGAACTGGTTAAATTTCTCTTCGGGTGTATGAAACTCCAAACTTTGGAGTGGGGCTCGGTGTTCTACAGCCAGGCATAATTTCAATACAGTTACAAAGATGGAGCTTAAGTGTCACGACTTCGTGAATGGCTGTTAATACTTAGTAATCATTCAAAACCTGCATTGAACAAATGAATAAACATTGTGAGGTAGCGCCTAAATTCTCAAACCTAGCACTTGACATGCTCTGAAGAGTTAATCTCATCATATATCTATGTACATTTGTCTTTAATTTTGAACCTTACAACTCAGGGGAAGAATACATCTTTATGGCTCATGAATCCGCCTAGGTATTAGAACACAAGCCTGCTTTACAAGCTTTGAAAAATACATTCTGCAATTGAGAAGAGTATTTTCATGAAATATTCACATCAGAAAGTTAAAGTTTCAATTTTCAAATTATCTCAACAGTATGAGCATAATTTAAGTTTTTTAAGACCAGAAGTTTGATCATCGTGGGTTTTTGTTTTTGTTTTTGTTTTTTTTCCCCCCTGGTTTTCTGAGAGAGGGTTTCTCTGTGTGACTTTGGAGCCTGTCCTGGAACTCACTCTGTAGACCAGGCTGGCTTCGAACTCACAGAGATCCTCCTGCCTCTGCTTCCCAAGCGCTGGGATTAAAGGTGTGCACTACCACCACCCGGCTCACGAGATATATTTGAGTGTAAGGTGAATTAGCTAAATTTTATTTCAAGGTGATGGGAAGGGGCGGGGAGCAGCTTACAGTTTGTCTATAACTCTAGTTCCAGATGATTCGACGCCCTCTTCTGGGTCCCCTGTGGATACTGCATGCACATGGCACAGACATTACATGCAGGCAAAACACCCTTATACAAATTTAAAAATAAAGTGGAAAAAACAAAACAAAAACTAATTCTTAAGCTGGGCAATTAGAATTAACCATCACAGATGTTATTCCAGCACCTTCAAGGTAGAAACAAGAGCATCAGTCGAAGACCAGCCTCCTCTACATGCACAAACTTTTAAATTTTGTTAAAAAAATGTTTATGAGTGTTTTGCCTGCATGTGTGTGCCTGTGTGGAGGTCAGAAAAGGACATTAGATCCCCTTGGACTAGAGTTACAGACAGTTTTGAGCTGCCACATGGATGCTGAAAATTGAATCCGGGTCCTCTGGAAGAGCAGCCAGTGCTCTTAACCACTGAGCCATCATCTCTCCAGCCCTGTTTTTAGAACTTTAAAAAATTCTGTTATTTTATGTAAATGGTTTTCTGGTTGGCTTTTTGTTATCTGGGAAGGTGGAAGGGTTGAGAAAATGCCTCCCCCGCCCCATTGTCTTTAGGCAGGTCTGTAGTGTATTTTTTTTGATATGTGTGGGAGAGCCCAGCCTTGTGCACAGTACTAGCCCTGGAGCCAGTGGTCCTAGCATGGGGAGCAAGCAGTGTTCCTCTGTGGTTCTGTTTCAGTTCCAGACTCCATGTTCTTTCCTGCCTTGACTTCCTCCCTGACTTCCCTGATGATGGACTACCCCCTGTAAGCTGAAATAAACCCTTTCCTTTCCAAGTTGCTTTTGGTCATTGTATTTTCGTACATACAGCATTAAAAAGCTAAGAAACTGGTGTTTTGCCTGTATGTATGTTGTTTGCACTCCCGTTACTTACCTAGATGTTTGCCAGTGGAGGCTAGAGCAGGGTATTGTATCCTCGGAACTAGAATTATAGATGGTTGTGAACCACAATGTGGGTTCTGGGAACTGAGCCTGGATCTTCTGGAAGAGCAACCAATGCTCTTCGTAATGGCCAAGACATCTCTCCAGCCCCAGTGTATATGGTTTTGGAAACAGGGTTTCACACTGTAGTCCAGGCTTGCTTGGAAATCATGGCAATCCTCCAGCCCCAGTTTCTTTTTTCCTATTTTGATTATTTTTTTTTTTTTTTGGTTTTTTGAGACAGGGTTTCTCTGTGTAGCTTTGCGCGCTTCGTAGACCAGGCTGGCCTCGAACTCACAAAGATCCGCCTGCCTCTGCCTCCCGAGTGCTGGGATTAAAGGCATGCGCCACCACCCCGCCCGGCCTATTTTGATTTTTTGAGACAGAGTTTCTCTGTGTAGTTTTATGCCTTTCCTGGAACTCTTGTAGACCAGGCTGGCCTCGAACTCACAGAGATCCACCTGGCTCTGCCTCCCAAATGCTGGGATTAAAGGCTTGTGCCACCACTGCCCGGCCAGCCCCAGTTTCTTGAATGCTGGGCTGGGATTAGGAGTATAAGCAACAACACTCAGTTTACCTTTTAAAACTTTTTTAATATAGTTGCTACAGACAAAAAAAATGTAGTATGGGCTTAGTTTCCAAAAAGCCCTGTATGAACCAAATGAGAGTGTCTTTGGAGTGGGCCAAATTTTCACCAAAAAAGTCTCTTTTGTATCTGTGCTCCCATACGACCATAATTCAATAGGATTTTTTTCTAATCCATGTAGTTTTTTTTTTTTTTTTAATCATGGGGGAGGAACTCAAAGCCTTGAATATGCTGGCTCCCCCCCCCCACCCATTTCTTTCATCTCTCCCATTTTGTTTTTTTGTTTTTTGAGACAGCATTTCACTATGTAGCACTAGCTGTCCTGGAACTCAACTCTGTAGATCAGGCTGGCCACAAACTCAGAGATCCTCTTGCCTCTCGAGTGCTGGGATTAAAGGCGTGTGCCACTACCTGGCTGCTTTTCATTTTTTTGTTTGGTTACATTTCAGATTCTCTTATATCTTGTATTAATTGTGAAAACTTTTTACTATTGGGGACTACGGGGGTCCAGCCCCTCGATAGTCCCCTCCCAGAGTCCAGGAAGAATCTACAACCAGCTGATAATTAATCTTTGATGAAAAGAAATGAATCTATGTACACGAAACTCCTTAGTCCATATACTTTGTTATTCTGTGTGAGTTCTCTCTCTACACACCTTCAGTTCTGCTCTCGTGCCTAGCTCCTTTCTTGCCTGATTTCTCTCTGTATTCATCTACTGCTCCCTCTAAGTTCTATCTTAATTCTCTTGTCTTAATTCTGCCTCACCTAGGTCCTTTTCTTCTTGTTCTTATCCAGCTAGTACTTCCCCATCTGACTCTTCCTCATTCATCTTCCATCTCGTCCACACGTACTCTCTGGTCAAAATCCTTATTCCTCCTTGTTCTCTATTGCTCTGTCCTCTCCAAGTCTCTCCAGAGTCCACTTATAAACCCAAGCAATAGCAATCCCCTGGTCGAACAAGGTCACCAGGCTTGAATTCTACGGGGTCATAAAGGTAGATAAGAATTTTCTTCAGGCAGTGACCACCAGGCTTCCAGGGTCAAACGGAGGGGTGTTAAGAATCACATAGAGGTTCAGTAATTGTTAATTATTTGCAACCCAAAGGGGAAGTGACCAATGGGGAAATGAATTAACTAAAGGCTAAATTCAGGTAATATCTAAGAAGAGGGATCTTATGTGTTCCACTTTAGTCTTAAACGTGATTGGTAGAAAATGTTAAGAATATATAAGTTGCTAGGTCAATGGGAGAAAGTAAAACTGCCTTCTTTTTTTCTGTGGCTCCTATCTGTCCAAGCTATCTGCTGTTTTTCTGCAGGGTGGGGGAAAGTGTGCTTGGTCGCTAGGCAACCTGGGTACAGCCAGATGCCTCTGGTGATAGTTAAAGGGAGATCTGGAACTAGAGGTAAGATTTGTGAAAGGAGGAAGTTAAGCTTCATTGGCACATCCACCAGGCCTTCTCAAACGGGGAGTCTGGATGCTTAAGTCTGTTCTTAGAAACTATGGAGGTATCTCTGATAAGGTACTTTCCTCCAACTGGGGATGGACCTGACCGTATGCTGCCAATGATGATAAATACAGGGAGGCTTGAACTGGGGTTCTGGCTGAGCATTGCTGTCAGCACAGAAAGTTATCTGAATATTCCTAGAAGTGGTTAGGTAAAGGTCTGTAAAGTTAGTAATGCTGTAAGAAAGGAGGGTCCGAGCTAAATTGTGTAAAGCTATCTAGGCGGTGTCTCCTTGTGGAATTTACCTTGAATCAGGAGACTAGCATGTGGACTGTTATTACTGTTAGTCCTTGAAAGTGGTCAAGGGAGATATCTGATTCCAGAGGAAGCCTTTCCTGAGGCTGTTCTCCAAATACCTT